GTCAGAAGGGTCCTTAGACCACAAGATGAAGGGACATTAGAACACAGAATGTCAGGGCTAGGAGGCAGCTTAGAATACTGAATATCAGAGGTGGTGGGAAGGAGCTTGGAACACAGAATTTAAGAATTAAGGATCACAGATCCAGAGCTGGAAAGGATCTCAAAGGCCATCTGATTCAGCCCCTTTAACTTGTCTTTAAGAAACTGAGATCCAGAGAAAGTAAGTTGCCTAAGGTTACACAATGAAAGAGGCAAGATTTGCACCCGGGTCCAGTGCTTTTTCTACTGTACCACACAGTTGGGAGGAATCTTGCTGTCATTCTTCATGACCCATTTGGGGTTTTCTTGCCAAAGATACTGAAGTGGTTTGCCATTTCCTTCTCTAGCTCATTTTACAGATGAGGAAACTGAGGCCAGCAGGGTGAAGTGACTCTCCCAGGGTCACACAGCTACTAAGTGTCTGAGTCTGAATTTGAATTCAGGGAAAGGAGTCTTCCTGACTTCAGGGCAGGAGCTCTATCTATGCGCCACCAAGCTGCTGACTGAACGTGCCAACCTAGGGCACCAAACATCAGACCTCAGAAATCATCTTATCCAACTCCTCTTTTTATGGAGGAGAAATTGAGACCCAAAGAGAAGTAATTATGCTAAGGTTAATCACAGGGTGAGTTACAGCACCAGGATTAGAATCCTGTCTCTGACTTACAGGCCAGAGCTCTCTCACAGCCTTGTGATCCTCCCTATACAAACACAGATGTATGGGGAGGGAGCAGGGAGGTGATAACAGAGGGTGGATGGTGGGTGGTCATGCTAGAGGGCATTGGGGCCCAGGTTCACGGCTCACCTCAAACATCTTTTTGATATCCGTGTACTTGGTCTTCAGTAGTTCTCCCCAGGATGTCAGGTTGCAGTAAGTGAGGACACCCCCAGGCTTCAGCAGGCGGAAAGCGTGAGCCTGGCAGGGTGGAAGGGCAAAGGTCTTAATGAGCTCCCATCCCCAGCCCCCTCTTCACCTATCTCACCAATGCTCTAGGTCACAAAGGATAAAAGGACATGGATGCCTCAGGTACAAACCCCCATCCCTGCTGCTGGAGACTTCCCTGAACTGCAGCCTGCTGATGGCATTAGGGAGAGTTATGTTCATAGGTGAAGGCCGATGCCACCGCCTTACCTTGATGAAGTTGAACTGGTGGGTATGCCAAGTCTCCTCAGAGAGGGGATAGGTGTCATACAGAATTCCTGTTTCAGAGAAACAATTCTTTTAACTTTGTTTATTCTTTAAAAGTGTCATATGGGACTGCCTTTGGTTTTCACACTTCTGAGTATATGTGACAGCCCCTCACCTCTTACCCAGGACTTAACTGTTTCTTGCAACAAAGAAAAAACAATTTTGTAAAAACAAATAATATAGTGACCACATCTGACAATTTTGTATGTTGTATCTACTACTTTGCCAAAGTTCTTAATTTTCTTGTTTATTTTCTTTGCTGATTCTCCAGGGTTTTCTGAGTAAACCACCTCGTTACCCATAAAATGAAATACTTTTGTCTCTGCTTTACTCATTCTTGTGCTTTTAATTTCTTTTTCTTATTACTATCTCAAGCATTTGTAGAACTGTAGCAAATAACAGTGGGGGAAAAGGGACGTCCTTGCTTTGCTCCTATATATTTCTTGAGAAAGCTTGTTGGGTTTCCTTGTTAAAAATACTGCTAACCCTGGGTTTTATACATAAATACACATGTGCATGTATCTGTATGTACACATGCATGTGTATGTGTATACATACATACATATATTTCTCATCATATTTTTTAAAAGATCCTTCTATGCCTACGGTTTGTAGAACTTTTTTTGTTATTTTAGGATAAATGACTATTGCCTTTTGTCAAGGGCTTTTTCTCTATCTATTCTCGCCTGATAATCTTCCACCTCTGTGACAAGAGGAAAGGAATACTTTTCATTATGTGTCCATTTGGACCAAAAGTGCTCGTTACAATTACTTAAAATACTTAGCCTGTTAACTTCAGGCAAACAGGCCTGATTTACTATCTTTGGTCCTTTACAAAAAAACAAAAACCTACAAGCATTTTTAAATCTGTCCCTGAACTTATAAATAAATGAAGTTCCAGGACCTTAGGAGATCCAGGCAGTGATAAGGCCTTTGTTCCTTAATGTGGCTCCCATCTAATGGGTAACTATGTTGACTTGTGGAGATACAGAGTGGGTAGGAGGGAGCCTGGTGTAAACAGGGCCAAGGTCATAAGCTCCCAATAGCAACAAGGCTGGGGAGGGAGGCAGCATTAATACATTAACTCTTTCCCAAGGGCCTTAGAGCAGGAGTTTTTCCTAGAGTCATTGCCTTAACCCAAAGGGATAATACCATAATGGCAGAATTTCAAGCAATGGCAACAGTTGTGCAGTGAGACTAATCATTTCATTGGTGAAAGGAATCCCCAGACCTACCCACAGACTGCTGTCCTATCACCCCTCCTGAAGGGCTAATTGTCCAACTGTCCTACCGAATAGTGTTGGAGCTGGAGTCAGGAAGACCCGAGTTCAAATCTGACCTCAGACACTTACTAGTTTTGTGACCCTTGTGCAAGTCACTTAACCCAGGTCTGCCTCAGTTTACTCATCTATAAAATGGGGATAATAGCAGCTACCTCCCAAGGTTGTTGTGAGGCTACAATGAGATCATTTGGAAAGTGCTCTGAAAACCTTCAGGCGATACATAAATAATAATTATTGTTGTTGTAGTTGTTACTTTTATTCCCTCTAGGGCCTCTTTGTGCTTTCTCACCATCGAAATGTCCATCAGGCAGGTTGGGCACCACCTCTTCCCATAAGCCTTTTAAGGGGACGACCTTAGGAACAGGAGAGAGAAGAGATCAAATCCAGCCTCAAACACTTACTTAATCTCTGTCTGCCTCAGTTTCCCCCAACTACAAAATGGGGATATTGACACCCACTACCTCCCAGGGTTGTTGTGAGAATCAAATGAGATAGTATTTGTAAAGCACTTAGCACAGTGCCTGGCACATAGCAGGTGCTTAATAAACACTTATTTCCTTTCCATTCCTCCTCTCCTTCCACAGCCCCCTAGAGGCCGTCCCAAGGGCTAGTGGGCCATTGCAGGTATGCTGTGAGTGAGCCCACGCGGGACAAGATGTCCCTCCCAGCAGAGCCCCAACAGCTACCTTGTGGGGCTGATGCTGGGCCCACTCCTGCAGCCGCCGGAAGACACCGTCATTGCATTCAACGATCCAGTGCTCCTCGATGTCGGCTTCCTGCACCTTGCTGGCCGCAATGGCCATCCCAAAGCCGACCTCCAGGACCCTTCCCCCTGGGATAAGAGCCAGAGGGAAAAGTGACCCAGGGTCCACCAAGCCACCAGGCATCTCCCGCAGGAGAGGAGTTTAAAGTCCACCCCCCTCGATCCCCTCAATCTTGTGGGAACCGAGGGTGGATTTCAATAAAAATTTTGCATGCTCACCAGGTACAGCTTGTTCCTGTCCCCTCTGCTTGCCCCACACCCCACAGGAGAGAGGCAGCAATAGCAAGCAGAAAGGGGGAGAGGAGCAGTTCCAATTTTCAGTTGGGTTCTAGGTTTTGTTTTGTTTTGATTTTGGTGAGGCAATTGGGGTTAAGTGACGTGCCTAGGATCACACAGCCAGTAAGTGTCAAGTGTCTGAGGCCAAATTTGAACTCAGGTCCTACTGACTCCCAGGTTGGTGCTCTATTCACTTCAACACCTAGCTGTCCCGGGGTTCTAGTTTTGAGTTCATTCTCTGCCAATGACTGACTCCCTCTGTGACTGACCCTGGACAAGTCTCCTGATGTCAGTGGGCCTCAGTCTCCTGAAAAACAAAGGCTTGGACTAGATAACCTCTGAAATTCTGTCTTGGACATTCCCAGAGCCTAGAAAGTCTTAGCCCCTCCTCTCTCTGCCCTAGGGCCCAGCCAGCTTGATCGTGAGGGAGCAGAAAACCCACCCAATTCAGGGGGACCGACTGCCCCTAGACCTCTCTTTTCATCCCATCCCCCAAGTCCCATCTATCCCAGGCATTCTCCCCACCCCACCCCACCCCACCTCTAATTCTTACTCTGGGAACAGGAAACAAATCAAGTGCTTCTGGAAAAAGGCAGGACGGGTCTGTGGCTCCAGTCACCACGCCTGTGACTGCCCAGACCCAGATTAACTTCTCTGTCATCACTCCCTTGGGTCATCTCCTCCTATTAGGACATAAACTCCACGAGGGCAGGGACCCTCTCACTTTTATATTAGTATCCCTGCCCACCTCCCTGCACCTAGCATGGTACCAGGCACATAGTAGGTGCTTTAGAATGCCCTTTTATCCATTCATTCACCCTCTGCCTAAGTAAATCCAATCTATCCCTCA